TTTACAGATTTTTTCCTGTAACTGATATCTAGTCTCATAGAGGTGTGGTCAGAAAAGATACTTGGTATGATTTCAATTTCCTAAAACTTACTAAGGCTTGATTTGTGACCCAAGATATGATCTATCCTGGAGAATATTCCATGAGCATTTGAGAAAAAAGTGTATTCTATTGTTTTTGGATGGAATGTCCTATAAATATCAATTAAGTCCATCTTGTTTAATGTATCATTTAAAGCTTGTGTTTCCTTCTTTTTTAAAATTTTGGATCTTCTGTCCATTGTTGAAAGTGTGGTGTGGCCTCTCCCGTTGCGGAGCACAGGCTCCGGACGTGCAGGCTCCGCGGCCATGGCTCACGGGCCCAGCCGCTCTGCGGCATGTGGGATCTTCCCGGAGCAGGGCACGAATCCATGTCCCTGGCATCGGCAGGTGGACTCAACCACTGTGCCACCAGGGAAGCCCTGAAAGTGCGGTCTTAAAATCCCCTACTACGATTGTGTTACTGTCGATTTCCCCTCTTTTGGCTGTTAGTATTTGCCTTATGTATTGACGTGCTCCTATGTTGGGTGCATAAATACTTACAATTGTTATATCTTCTTTTTGGATTGATCCCTTGATCATTATGTAGTGTCCTTCTTTGTCTCTTGTAATAGTATTTATTTTAAACTCTATTTTGTCTGATATGAGAATTGCTACTCCAGCTTTCTTTTGATTTCCATTTCCATGGAATATCTTTTTACATCTCTTCACTTTCAGTTCTTTGTGTCCCTGGTGTGAAGTGGGTCTGTTATAGACAGCATATATGCGGGTGTTGTTTTGTATCCATTCAGCCAGTCTATGTCTTTTGGTTGGAACATTTAATCCATTTACATTTAAGGTAATTATCGATATGTATGTTCCTACTACCATTTTCTTAATTGTTTTGGGTTTGTAATTGTAGGTCTTTTCCTTCTCTTGTGTTTCCTGTCTAGAGAATTTCCTTTAGCATTTGTTGTAAAGCTGGTTTGGTGGTGCTGAATTCTCGTAGCTTTTGCATGTCTATAAAGGTTTTTATTTCTGCATCAAATCTGAATGAGATCCTTGCTGGATAGAGTAATCTGGGTTGTAGGTTTTTCCCTTTCATCACTTTAAATATGTCCTGCCACTCCCTTCTGGCTTGCAGAGTTTCTGCTGAAAGATCAGCTGTTAACCTTATGGGGATTCCCTTTTATGTTATTTGTTGTTTTTCGCTTGCTGATCTTAATATTTTTTCTTTGTATTTAATTTTCGATAGTTTGATTAATATGTATCTTGGCTTGTTTCTCCTTGGATTTATCCTGTATGGGACTCTCTGCATTTCCTGGACTTGATTAACTATTTCCTTTCCCACATTAGGGAAGTTTTCAACTATAATCTCTTCAAATATTTTCTCAGTCCATTTCTTTTTCTCTTCTTCTTCTGGGACCCCTATGCTTCAAATGTTGGTGCATTTAATATTGTCCCAGAGGTCTCTGAGAGTGGCCTCAATTCTTTTCCTTCTTTTTTCTTTATTGTGCTCTGCAGTAGTTATTTCCACTCTTTTATCTTCCAGGTCACTTATCCATTCTTCTGCCTCAGTTATTCTGCTATTGATTCCTTCTAGAGAAGTTTTAATTTCATTTATTGTGCTGTTCATCATGTTTCTTGGCTCTTTAGTTCTCACATGTCCTTGTTAAAAGTTTCTTGTATTTTCTCCATTCTATTTCCAAGATTTTGGATCATCTTTACTATCATTACTGAATTCTTTTTCAGGTAGACTGCCTATTTTCTCTTCATTTGTTTGGTCTGGTGGGTTTTTACCTTGCTCCTTCATATGCTGTGTGTTTCTCTGTCTTCTCATTTTGCTTAACTTACTGTTTTCAGTGTCTCCTTTTCGCAGGCTTCAGGTTTGTAGTTTCTGTTGTTTTTGGTGTCTGTCCCCAGTGGCTAAGGTTGGTTCAGTGGGTTGTGTAGGCTTCCTGGTGGAGGGGACTAGAGCCTGTGTTCTGGTGGATGAGGCTGTATCTTGTCTTTCTGTTGGGCAGGACCGCGTCCGGTAATGTGTTTTGGGGTGTCTGTGACCTTATGATGATTTTAGGCAGCCTCTCTGCTAATGGGTGTGGTTGTGTTCCTGTCTTGTTATTCGTTTGGCATAGGGTGTGCAGCACTGTAGCTTGCTGGTCATTGAGTGGAGTTGGGTCTTAGCATTGAGGTGGAGATATCTGGGTGAGCTTTCGCCATTTGATATTAGGTGGAGCTGGGAGTTCTCTGGTGAACCAATGTCCTGAACTTGGCTCTCCCACCTCAGAGGCACAGCCCTGACACCTGGCCAGAGCACTAAGACCCTGTCAGCCACACGGCCACTCACAAAAAGAGAAAAAGGAAAAAGGCAAAACAAATATAAATATATATATATATATATATATATATATATATATAGTTACTCTCAAAGTCCACTCCCTCAATTTTGGTATGATTCATTGTCTATTCAGTTATTCCAGAGATGCAGGGTACATCTAGTTGATTGTGGAGATTTAATCCACTGCTTCTGAGACTGCTTGGAGGGATTTTCCTTTCTCTGTTCGCACAGCTCCTGGGGTTCAGCTTTAGATTGGCCCCGTCTCTGCGTGTAGGTCGCCTGAGGGCATCTTTTCTTCGCTCAGACAGGACAGGGTTAAAGGAGCAGGTGATTAGGGGGCTCTGGTTCACTCAGGCCAGGGGGAGGGAGGGGTATGGCATGTCAGGCGAGCCTGTGGCGGCAGAGGACAACATGTCCTTGCAACAGCCTGAGGTATGCTGTGTGTTCTCCTGGGGAAGTTGTCCCTGGATCATGGCAACCTGGCACTGGCAGACTGCACAGGCTCCCGGGAGGTGAGGTGTGGAGAGTGACCTGTGCTCGCACACAGGGCTCTTGGTGGCTGCAGCAGCAGCCTTAGCGTTTCATGCCCGTTTCTGGTGTCTGCTCTGATAACCGCGGCTCGTGTCCGTCTCTGGAACTCATTTAGGTGGTGCTCTGAATCCGCTCTCCTTGCGCACCCCGAAACAATGGTCTCTTGCCTCTTAGGCAGGTCCAGACTTTTTCCCGGCCTCTCTCCCACTTAGCTGTGGTGTACTAGCCCCCTTCAAGCTGTGTTCACGCAGCCAACCCCAGTCCTCTCCCTGGGATTTGACCTCCGAAGCCCGAGCCTCAGCTCCCAGCCCCCGCCTGCCCCGGTGGATGAGCAGACAAGCTTCTCGGGCTGGTGAGTGTTTGTCGGCACCGATCCTCTGTGTGGGAATCTCTCCACTTTGCCCTCCGCAGCCCTGTTGCTGCGCTCTCCTCCATGGCCCCAAAGCTTCCCCACTCTGCCACCTGCAGTCTCTGCCCACGAAGGGGCTTCGTAGTGCGTGGAAACCTTTCCTCCTTCACAGCTCCCTCCCAGAGGGGTCGGTCCCGTCCCTATTCTTTTGTCTCTGTTTTTTTCTTTTTTCTTTTGCCCTACCCAGGTACGTGGGGACTTTCTTGCCTTTTGGGAGGTCTGAGGTCTTCTGCCAGCGTTCAGTAGGTGTTCTGTAGGAGTTGTTCCACATGTAGATGTATTTCTGATGTACTTGTGGGGAGGAAGGTGATCTCCACGTCTTACTCCTCTGCCATCTTGAAGGTCTCCCCCTCAACGTATGTTTTTAATATGAGCCCATATCACTCATAATCAAATATAATAGGCAATACCACTATTTTGTCTGTGCTAATCTATTCAGCCGAACTTTGAAAACCTAACTGCCTCTGATAAAAGCAGGGTTCACCTTAAACTAACCTAGCACATGAAGAACATGATATGGTCTTGTAAAGTGTTTTCCCAAATACTAGGACTGATTATATTCTATTCAACCTGCCAAATCTACAGCTTGAATTGAATTTCCCAATTTTATTCCCTTCCCATTCTGGTATCCTCATCATTGTTTACTGCTCCCACAACATCATTGGGCTACGAAAACACAAAAATCTACCTGGGATATATAATCTCACTAACATCTATTCTCAGGAATATCGTGGAGGAGGGAATAAAATCAGAGATAGAGTAGAAGGATTGCATAAATTCTCAGTGTCTTTCTTCTGGTCATGGGTATGTGGCCATGTTTTTATTTTCAAAGCTGTTCTTTCTGTTTACAGAGATCCTGTGTCTATACATATGCCAACAATCTACAACAGATTTTCTTGAAGAATCCTTTTCACTTTGAAATTGTATCTTTTCTTTTTTAAGAAAAAATATATAATTTAATGAGTAAACTTTGGTGGCATTAAGGGAATTTAGTTAACATTCATGAGATAAAGTTTCTTTCTGTTCTGGGATATGAAGGTTTCATGTAAGAAAAAAACAAGTGTCCACCTCTTATAACAAGAAGAAGGAAGTAGATGGGGCTGAGATATTCTCAGAAGAAGGGTCAAATATCTCAGCTAGCAGATATGAAAGCAAAAGATAAACTTACCTTCATCTTGGTCATTGGAACAATTTCAAGAAAGACTATATAACTGAGGTAATACATGCAGGGTTCATTTAATATACCCACGAGCTATAACTCACTAAGTTCAAAAACTCCTCCAAGAGGACTAAACAAATAATGGCCCCAGTGCTGTACACTTCCTGGTTTTCCTTTTTCAGCAGGTAGGTATTCAATTTAGGCAAAATTCTTATGCACCTAGTTACCTTCTCCACTTGTTTACTAGCCCTATCACATGAGCTGAATTACAACGGCTTTAACTTGTCACTTGGAATAGTGAACATAGAGTGGGCAACTCAATAAACTACTGCTGAGTGAATTAATCTCAAAACCATTCAGTAACAAACATCCCAATCAAGTATTCAGTCTTGAAAATTACATCAAAAACAGTAAAACAGGATGGCAGAGACCCAAATGATAGAAATTGACCAGATCTGTTCTTTTACACACCAATGGGTTCCTTGGGCAAAGGGAAAAAAAACATATATATATGTAAACATAGATTTGGCTAAATATGATTATCATACCTTATCTCGAATTATTTTAGTCAGCATTCTTGTATCCACTCCATAAATTGCAGGGACCTGTAAGGAAAATAATTGTAGTGACAGTAAAATTGGAGGAAATTTGGTCCAGCAGAGTGTTTTCAAGTTACAAACTTAACATCATCTTCTTGAGCAGTAAATAATTTCCCTACTCCTTTTCTCTGATCCAGGGTGTCTGTGTCACAAGAACAAGGTAAATTGCTGTTCAGTTGGGCACAGGACTCTTAATATCCAGACCCTTCCTCAGAGTGAAAAGTGAGAAATTCTGAACATCAGTCTTCTGCTACAGCTCTTTTGCTTTTAATCCAGGATGTTAAATAAGTAATATAATTTTATAGATACATATATATTTTTAAAAAATGGAATTTGTGAACTTCATAAGCAAAGATATGTAATTAATAGGCAAATCCATGTTGTGAACCACATGTTCCTGGCACATGGTAGGCAATCCTGAAGGTTTTCCTGAAGGTGCTTGTTAGGTAGTCATGCTGTATTAAAATTATGCCCAATCTATTAGTAAATCAGGCACACCATTTGTTTTAGTTTCTCTGACTAGGTTGGATAGAGATAGATGTAGTACAGTACGTTCCCCCTTCTCCCCAGTTTTGCTTCTAGTGGTTTCAGTTACCTGTGATCAACCATAGTCTGAAAATATTAAATGGAAAATTTCAGAAATAAACAATTCATAAGTTTTAAATTGTACACCACTCTGAATAGTGTGATGAAATCTCCCACCATCCGGCTCTGTCCCACCCAGAAGCTGAACCACCCCTTTGTCCAGCGGTGCCCACCCATTAGTCATTTAATAGCCACCTGGATTGTCAGGTCAACTGTTGCGGTATGGCAGTTCTATGTTCAAGTAACACTTACCTTACTTAATAATGGCTCCACAGTGCAAGAGTAGTGATGCTGGCAATTCAGATATTCCCTTACTGTGCCTAATTTATAAACTAGACTTTATCATAGGTATGTACACATAGGAAAAGACTTAGTAGATATAGGGTTTGGTACTATCCATGGTTTCAGGCGTCCACTGGGGGTCTTAGAACGTATTCCCCATGGATAAAAGGGGAAAGAGCAGCAAGTTAAGAATGAGGAAACAGGTTTTAGTTTCTTTTCTTCCACCATTTATCTGAGTGATATTTGAGCAAGATGTTTCCCCATTACCTGTACATAGAAGGAGGTAAACTGGTTATTATTTTAGACATTCTTCTACTCTATGTGTCTATGATCATGGAAGAAGATTCAAAGCACATTTTAAAAACAAACTAACAAAACATGGATTAAGTTTATACTTCAACTATTAGTTCTGACACAAAGCAGCTATAATATCAGGTGTCTAAGTAACACAAAGGAAACATTAAGGGGAAGAGGGAGGAGTCTCCTGAATGATGATTACAAGGAGGTAAATTCAGATAATGATTGAGAAGAAACTAGCAAAGACCTAGGAGATAATACATATGCCTTCTTCTCTCTTGTAAAAATTTAGCAAGAATGAGGAAACAAAGATCAAGATTTTTTGCTTTGTTAGAAAGAGGAAACGTTTAGCCTCAGTTGGCAGATGCTCCTCAGAGAGACAGAGTTTCTCAGAATATTCGGTCAATTACAGGCCCAGTTGCAACTTAACAAAAAGCAGCTACAGTAACACTGGAAATAAAGCTTAGTATATTAGGTCTGTTAACTTTAAGTAGGTCTGACTTTCAAACCAGGAGAATCCCCTTATCTGATTAGAAAATAATAGAGTAAGGAAGATATAAGGTTAGTAACTTATTTATTACTTCAAATGAAGTGATATCTAATTATACGTCATAGTCATAACGTTTAAGCCCAAAGAGACTTGACGGCAATCGGTTTATATTAATTAAGAATTAAAATTAAGAATGTATGGTATGATTACATGACCTGAGCAAGGTCACATAGCTCGTTAATGGTAGAGCTGGTACTAGAATCCATGACACAAGTTACATCTCTAGATCCTCGTTAAAAGGGGGAGGTTATGTTGCTCCGGAGAGTAGAAAATTCTAAAATTTTCTCTAACCCCTTTCCAGAATGAGAAAGTCTGTCTACCAAGCATGTATGAGTGCCACCTAGTGGATAAACTGAAAATATAAGGTCCTCAGTGTTTATATAAAGAATGAGTTCTGGACAGTTCTGGACAGTAGTAATAGTTCAGCCTGAAGGAATTGCGCTCTGAAACAAAAGGGTCCCAAACTGCCTGATCTGCTTTATCTGTTTGGCCCTTTTCAATTACATACACCTTCCCAACTTTCCATGGGCCCCACCAATCGTCCTTAGGTGATGCTGGATGACCTATCACATTTCTCACCTTTTCTTCCTGTAGCCATTGCCCTAGACTCTTGGCAGCCAGCCAGTGGTGGTAGTCATCACTATAATTCAGTACCAGCAAACCTGCAACCTAGAAAGACAGGCAGTCATTTTAAAAATGTGATCACAAAATACTACCCAACTCTTGTGACTTGTCTTCTTTTTAATTAATAAATTTATTTTTTTCCATTCTTTTTCAAATTCTTTTCCCATTTAGGTTATTACAGAATATTGAGCAGAGTTCCCTGTGCTATACAGTAGGTCCTTGTTGGTTATCTATATATTTTAAATATAGCAGTGTGTACATGTGAATCCCAAATTCCCAGTCTATCGCCTCTGTTATGACTTAAGAATCAGTTTGCATTCTTCAAGCTTTATTATATTCACTGATACAACACCTAAAATTTTGAAACTTGAAAAAAAATGTGATTAAAAAGTTTTCTCGTAAAATATAATAATTGTTACCTTAATTACCATGCGGGGAACAGTCTTACTTGGTTTTCCAAATCCTGAGAGTAAACTAGGTCCCCCTTCTCAGTACCCTGTACTTTTCCACAATGGCATTTATCGATAATCTAATTCATAATTATTTGCTTAATGTACATAGAGAATAAGACAATTTTTAAATTTACATTTAAAAGAAACTAAATATTGAGGGGAAATGGTGAGATATAAAACTAAATTAAATGATCAGTCCAAGTCATTCAAAAATAGAGTGGTGAATTTAGAGTGTAAATTTTTGAATCGTTTATATGGTTCACATCCCTAAGATACTATTCAAATTTGCCTTGAATAGGAAATTTTAATTGTGTTTACTTTTCGGCTGGCATACACGTTATCTTTTACTCATCTCCCAAAGAGGATAAGATTTAAAAGGTAAATAATTGATACAGAGTTGATTCGTAAAATCCATTTAAAAGGTGATTCAACTCGAATTCTTGCAGCATAGTTGCTATCTGAACTTATAACAACATTTTTCCAAATGAAGCCAGTTTTATCCACGGCATTAAAAATAAATCCAGAGTGCCCTGAGAAATGAAACTCAGAATAATGTCATGTTAAAGATTATTTTCATATACCTAGGAGTAAGATTGAGAATATAAATTTAATGATTTGTACTATAGGATTGAGGCCGAAATTTTGCCCAGCTTAGATTCTTAATAAATCAACTATGCTTTTTAAATAGTCATCACTGGTACTACCTTAATTCCATCGGACTCCAAATATTTGCTAAGTCCCAGTTCATCCAGTGCAGTAGTGTCAGGGGCTCCACCATTCCCAACAATAGGGTTGGCCATGGTGAGAATCTGTCCCTTGTAAGCAGGGTCAGTAAGAGCTTCCGGGTACCTAGGTAAAGATGCCAAGAAATTATCAACAAAAAAATGTATTCTACATACATGATCTTAATTATTGAACCCTTGAAAATTAGAGAACATGAGAATAAAATCCTACAAGCTCGTCTCTAGATTTTGCCGAACCTAAGGAAATTTTATGATAGAATATGGAAATTTATCCCATGATATTACTGACATGAAAAGGCTCTTAAGTAATATGGCATATTCTCATTTAATTTTCATTCCCTCAATTTCTTAAATTTTTTAATTCCTTGAAAAATTCTTCACAGGGTCTTAAGTTTTTAAATATTGCTCTATTTAAAGTTTGCAGATATCCTCAAGAATCCCCTAGCCTACCAGACATGAGTGGGTCCAAAATGATATTTACTGCTGAGGGCTGACAGTTTCACCAAAATATTAACTGTCAAAAATTGAAAAGTTTTTTAAAAATATCTTTGAGGATACTGAAGAGCATGCTGATTACGTCAGTGATGGTCGCCTGGGTATATATGTTTATTAAAATTCACTGAACATTTAAAACTCTGATTTATTTTCTATGAAAGAAATACTTAATAAAGTTGATTTTTTTAATATTTTAGTTATATAGAGAGGTGTATGTTTGATAGTTATTATCAAGTTATCATTGATAGTATATGTTTGATAGTTATTATTTTATTATAGAAAAAAATCAATCCCAAAAAAATTGACCCAAAGCATTTCTGTCTTCTAAATTAAAAGATTCCAAGTAACTATTTTGAAGTACTGATGTGGAATTAAGAAGAAATGCAGAAGAGCTTTATTTTAAAGTGTGGGGAGGAAAAAATAAGAATACATGTATTCTTGGGCCTCCCTGGTGGCGCAGTGGTTGAGAGTCCACCTGCCGATGCAGGGGACACGGGTTCGTGCCCCAGTCCGGGAAGATCCCACATGCCGCGGAGCAGCTGGGCCCGTGAGCCATGGCCACTGAGCCTGCGCGTCCGGAGCCTGTGCTCCGCAATGGGAGAGGCCACAACAGTGAGAGGCCCGCGTACCACAAAAAAAAAAAAAAAAAAAAAAAGAATACATGTATTCTTGTTTTTATTCTACATATAAATAAAATTATATATAAAATTTCTATTCTTAATAATAAGAAACATTCTTCCCATAAATACCAGGATCTATCTACAGCTATTCCATGCATTGCAATGAGATTTTTTTCCCACCCTCTTAACATTTTCACTTCCCACAGAGACAGTTAAACCTAATCTTTCTTGTGGATTACTACTGAAAGTGAATTTAGGTGCTGAGGGGGGACAGACTGACAACCTCGAAAGCAATAAAATTCAGCTCCAGCAGTAGTCAACACGAATTCTTCAACCCTTATCCAGACTAACTTCTCCCAGACCTCCCTTTGCCAACAGAATACTTAGTCTCTCAGCTCAGCAACCTCTAAAGTGACTAAGATGCTGTGATATTTACCCACACCTCCATCAGCTAATTTCTCAGATTCCCTCTCACTTGTCAGGAACTAATAATTTTTTAACCAAGGCTTACACATAATATAAATGCATTTCTTGAAGATGAAAAACAAAATAACTCCCTTAATTATCAACCCCTTGCTGAGTGAGCCACACATGAATAAAAGCAGCATTTCTCAATGGAAAATGGGATGTGTGGACTAATCTTATTAATGAATGCATTTTTCTACATCAAAAGAAGTCTTTAATTAATTTAATTTTACTTCTTTTCTTCTTTCTTCCCATGAAAGAACTGGCCATTCCCTTTAACATATGCCTACAATGCTCTCTCCAGAAAATGAATAAATATAGCTTGTCCTAGAGAACTGCAGTGTTGGAAGAAAATTAATCCATCAGGTCCTGTTTGACTTTTGTGATGTGACAAGATTTATTACCCATAATCTACCACAGAGAAGAAAACTCGAGTGCCCTCCATCATTCTGATCTATATTAAACAGCTGTTTGTTGGCAGGTATATTAACACAGTTAGTAATTAGTGCTGTCAAAAGGCTTAAATAATTGCCTGGTGAAGCAAAACTCTGCAAACAGTTTTCATACACTGTAATTTAATGTTCTCACCAGTGGAACTATTTTAAAAACCATCTAATATTCTTTATTTCAAACAGAGAGCTAAGAGTTTAGAGGATAATGCACATTAATAATATAATGGAAGTTTGGTCAATCAATATCTTCAATACCAGTTAACCCAATGCCTCCTTGTCTTTAAAAGGCTAACTGAATTTCCCTAAAGAATTCATCAAATATTTTACAGTTTAGTCTACTGAATCTCTAATGGAAACCTTTTGAAACCATCTAATTTTTTAAGATGTAATTTTTTAAATTCCTAGCCATAAATTACTATCTAATCCAATCCCCTCACACTTTACATGTGGAAACTAAGATTCAGAAAGGTTAAGTGATTTTCTCAATATCACATAATCAGTTACCATTAGAACTGAGACCAGAAATTCAGCCACCTGGTTCCCAGATGAACATTTGTTGGCTAGATAAGAACAGCTACATGATTTCTGTAGCAACTCTTACCTTTGTTGCTCTACACCTATTAGCAGAAATTAAATACTGAATTCAGTCTCAGTTGATAAATTTTGAAAATATCCGATCTATGAAACTGCTCTCCTGTGTATTACTTTAAGATAATAAATGTATCTGTTATTTTACCTTTCTTATTAGAGTGCAAATTATATATTGTATTTTATATAATTTTGCACTATAATACCTAAGGAATTTCTTAGCTCTTTATAATAGTTCATATTAGATGTGCAAAGTTGATTCTTAATTTCACTAATGGAATGGCACTAGAGAGTGCTACCCATCCTTTTCCCTGTTCGATTTTCACCTTAAATCAGATTGATACTGACCCCCCACCTTACAGAAGCCACTTGGTAATCTCACATAACTTGTGTCTTTGTATCCTAAGTTTCTAGAATTAATTTTGTTCTTTTTTAGCAGGGGAACACCAGTGTCTGTATTCTCTTCCATTTACAGCCACAGGGAGGAGCTTGTGTCTATGGCCCTTTTCAGGGTTGGCTTGAGCAAGCTATGTACAAGCACAGGGCAACGTCAGGACAATGTGTGGTATTATGATGATGATGTGGTGACTTCAATTTCCCACCATGAATAAGATCATCCAGTTATTCCTCTATATAGAGGAAGAATAAAGCCTTGGAATAGAAGCATTACTCACCCTGCTAGGCCAGTATTAAAAACCACTTCACCAGCAACAGAGGATGGATGGCCAAAGGAGTAACCTTTCATCTTAGTTCCATCTTCCAGGACAATGTGCGCTGTCTGTGCCTAAAGAAACAGATTCATGAATCATAGCAGAATACAAAATATAAAGTACAACTAGTTGAAAAAGTACACTACATAAATGTATTAAATAAATGAACAGTATATTTGATGAAACCATACTATCTAGATTCTGAGTCACTCTCCTGTTTTCTTCAAACGTATGGCTCTTGTCACAGGCAGGTGTTTTATTTTGTTTTGCTTGAAAGAGGAACTGAAGCATGTTGATACATTGTCTATCCTAAGTCTACTTGTAGAGTTATTGACAATCCAGAAATACTTCAGTTTAGCTGTAATGCTATGTGTCTGTCTTTTCCCTCTTAATATTCCCTAGCTTTGTCAAGTATAGCTTAAGGGAAATTCATGAGTTTGCAAAAACTTTGTGAATTTTACCATACAGCTCCTCATTACTCTGAGGCTTAGAGCTAGAAGGAATCTTCAAAGTTATACATCAAATTGTGTTCCATAGAGCTCTTGTGTTTGATGGAGTTGTCTCAGGGGCTGCCCCCTCCCTGAGCTTTAGGATCATAAAGAAACTGAAACTTTATCATTCTATTAATACTGATACAAGAGCAAGCACTGTGGAACTTCTGAAAATATATTGCATTTTGCTTTTTAGTAGAGTTAGTTATATACATGTCTGGTTCTCCCTTTAGACTACAAGACATTCTGAATTTGACTACTTCACCATACTAATCTCTGAACCAGCTTCTATAAAATTCTTGGTTAAAAAGAGGGACAATTAGAGAAACTTATCTCAGAAGCAGGCATCATCTACTCTTCAAAAATACTCTAAATTCTATTGTTGAAACAATTTGGGTCTAATTCTTAATTTCCATACAATTCAGGGGGGAGAGAAGTACCACACTTTGGGGTGCAAAATCTAGACTCTGTAAAAAACTCTATGGGACAAAATAATGGGAACATTTTGATTTTATTAAAAATAAACTATAGGGCTTCCCTGGTGGTGCAGTGGTTTAGAGTCTGCCTGCCGATGCAGGGGACACAGGTTCGTGCCCTGGTCCGGGAAGGTCCCACATGCCACAGAACGGCTAGGCCTGTGAGCCATGGCCGCTGAGCCTGCGTGTCCGGAGCCTGTGCTCCGCAACGGGAGAGGCCACAACAGTGAGAGGCCCACGTACCGCAAAAAAAAAAAAAAAACTATAAAGGAAAACATCTCTGCAATAATTTAGAAAATTTGAAAATAAATTGATATTTTATTGTATTCAGTGTAATTTTTAAGATTGATGATGGCACTATGGTTATATTTTTAAGAATTTTCATTTTTTAAAGATATACACTGAAATACTTAAGCATAGACTAATATGATATCTGACATTGGCTTCAAAATAATCAGAGGTTAGGGGGAATGAATAGGGATATGAATGAAACAAGTCTGGCCATGAGTTGAAATTGCTGAAGTAAGGAAGATCATTGTGCTGTTCTCTCTGCAAGGGTTAAGTGCAGCCATTAAAGATAGAAACATACTAATTCACTACTTCCCTTACTTTTTTAGCTCTGGATCCCATAGCGTCTAATCCTTTTCTATCCTATCACCCACCTCCAGTCTTACCACACACACACACGCACACACAGACACCAATCTCAGTATACAGCAGGAAGGCAATACATGATTTCTAGACCTCTGTCTCTATGTTCCTCTAGCTTTACAAGCACTCAGCTTTTCAAGAGTTAAAATGGTAAAACCTCATTATTTTTCTATAGTAACCTTCTCTTTAGAAATACGATGCCTCTTTTACTTGTAAAGTACACAAGTCCCTTGACACTGGAATGACTGCTTTGCAATGTAGTGTTTATCTTTAAATCAATAGACCATGTGCCTATGTATTGTTTATGTGTAGTGCATACACATTAATTTATATTTACACCCAAAGCTATTTTAGTATTCCCTATTAAAATTGATATGTTTATGGTACTCCTCTCAACAGTAAGTTTAGTTTTTAATTGGAGGTACAATGCATGGATTTCAATTTATATTTTGAAGAAAGTTGGACAAAGTACTGTCCGGCATATTTTATATGTGTTTGTGTATGTGAGTTTGTATGTGAGTGTCCATGGGCAGAGTTAGCCAAAAGAATGTTGTCCTTCACCCAGCTTATCAAATAATCTTTGAGGTAAAGTTCTGTTTTATCTACAGCCTTGGAACCAGTGTTCAAGATCTCAAGCTTGACACTTTCTCTTTAAATAGTCATGGTTTACCTTCTCAGACAGTAAATTAAAAAAAAGTTTTTGGAATTACTCAGCACAGAGGAAAGCACAATAAGTAATTAATGTAATACACATGATGACAAGAGTTCCCTGACAGAGACTGGCTTAACACACAAGTTCTGAATTCTGCCTCTGCATCCAGGAAGTCACCTTTGCACGTCACTTCTTCTAATAACACAATTTTCTTATTTTATATTTTATTTTAATTTGTCAATCATTCTTTACTTATAATTCAAGACAGAGGTTGTTGATTTTAGGAAGTAAGTGTGATTATGTTCAGTGTATTTCCAAAGAACATTATAAACTAATCAAATGTCTATGGTGATGGTTCTCAGTAGGGGTAAGTTTATTGGGAAAATTTCCTAGGTATCTCTACATGTTTCACTAGGTGAAAACCTTTGGTCCAAGTAATGGAAATTCACTGTCAAAAAATATTTTCTACTGAAAGTATTATTTTCTGTTCTTGAGGAAGTCATGTGTAGCCTACATGCTTTCACCAAATGGAGGTAAGGTAGGAAACATTTTCTTAAATAATATTTAACTTTGATAGAACCTAAAATAACTGTACTTATTTGGCAAAACTTGACGTGTGAACTGCAAATTTCAATTGTCTTCTATATACCAATTTATCTACCCTACTCTGAGCCATACCTGCCTAAAATATCACCTCTGTTTATTTTGTTCCTTTTGCTTTTCTCTATCCTATTCTCATCTAAGAATTTCAAATTCTCTGATCTATCTGACAACATCTAATTATTTTAAAGAAAGGTAAAAATTAGCATAAGCAATCTGACTCTTGTTAGCCTATTCGTACAATTCTATTTGGTATTTTTCTTCCTCTCTCCATGGGACTAGTTTTCTACTTTGCTTTCTGTCCTTTAAAGATATATTTGAGGAGACATTTACTGTTGCCCGAAATAGTCCCTGAGATTGTGTTCAATACGTCTTTTTTGCTCCTTTAATTATATTTTTTGTTCTTTTTGGCAGCTTTTATAGATTTCCCAATCCTTTTTTCCACTGCACATTATATTGTTACAAGGCTTCTGTTTACTGCCTATAGTACCCTTTATATTTCACTTAACTACATTGGCCTCCAACGAGTCTAAAATGATGGGTGCCAATTGACTTATCTATGAATTGATGGAGAAACTCAACAAAGAGCTATTATTTGGAATCCCCTCTTCTAGCTAATAAGTTCCCAAATGCTATTTCATTCCAACGAGTCTAAAAGAAATCACCTTGCTACCAGTGTAAGATATTTTAGTAGCCTCAGTCCTAGTAGAAAGAGGACCATAGTCTAGGAATTATACTATAACCTTAAGGGTTCATTTAAGTGCCTACTGCCAGAGCACTTTGGTAGTTTGAATGCTGAAAGTGCAAAGGAAACCTTAATGAGAAGTCTGTACACTCACAGAATGTCAGGAATAGTAACCAAAGGCTATATAAGTGTAAGTTCTACAAAATAAATGACCTATATCATGACATGGTCCCTAACTGTTTAACAAAAAATGTATATGCCAATAAGACAGTTTAGACCTTCAGGTCACAACATCATTTAGCTCCCATCATGTGCCAAGTTTCATCCTAGGCTTTGGAGCTACATGGATAAATATCCCCAGTCCCCCCCACCCCTTCCACCCTCAATTTAGTAAAAGGGCCAGCTATGTGCTTGGATGGTAAAATAGAGGAACCTCAAGAAGATTACCTTTGAAACACCTAGAAACACAAAGATAAATAAAATATCCCTTCCTTTCAGAGATTTCTCTTTAAAAAAATAATTCACCCTTTCCTTCCCATTCATGATTTCAGTAATAAAGTTAAAATTTTAAGAGAGAAACGCATCAAATTTTGAATCTAAAGTTTAAAGATTCCTTCAAGTCTTTACTCAAATGTCATCCATCTTCTTGGCAAAACCTATTTAAAATTGCAATATTCCTAAATGTCCATCAACAGGAATGGATTAAGATGTGGTACATATATACAATGGAATATTACTCAGTCATAAAAAAGAATGAAATAATGCCATTTACAGCAACATGGATGGACCTAGAGATTGTCATACTGAATCAAGTAAGTCAGACAAAGACAAATATCATATATCACTTATAAGTGGAATCTAAAATAGAAAAAAAGATACAAATGAACCTATCTACAAAACAGAAATAGAATCACAGATGTAGAAAACAAACTTATGATTACCAGGGGGAGAAAGGGGGGGAGGGATAAATTGGGAGATTATACTAGATATATTATACTAAATATAAAATAGATAACTAATGAGAAACTACTGTATAGTACAGGGAACTCTACTGAATACTCTGTAATGAACTATACAGGAATAGAATCTGAAAAATAGTGGAAATAAATAAAATTACAATATACCCCTCAGCACCCTATCTACTTAGTCTACTCTTTCTTCACAGCACTTACTGCCTTCTAACATATCATCCAGTGTCTTATTTAAAACATCTGTCTTGTCCCACTAGAAAGTGAACTTTATGTGGGCAGAGTATTTGGGTTTGCTTTGTTCACTGATGTGCCTGTCTCCAGGGCCAACATCAGTGCCTGGTACAGAGTAGGTAGTCATTTAATTTTTGTTGGATGAATAAAGCATCACTAAGTGACAATCTAAAGAAAAATACTGGGACTTCCCTGGTGCGCAGTGGTTAAGAAGCCGCCTGCCAATGCAGGGGACACAGGTTAGATCCCTGGTCTGGGAAGGTCTCACATGCCGTGAAGCAACTGAGCCCGTGCATCACAATCACTGAGCCTGTGCT